TAGGTATAGGGACATGTTAGGTATAGGGACATGTTAGGTATAGGGCTGTGTTAGGTATAGGGCTGTGTTAGGTATAGGGCTGTGTTAGGTATAGGTACGTGCTAGGTATAGGGACGTGTTAGGTATAGGGACGTGTTAGGTATAGGCACTTGTTAGGTATAGGGACGTGTTAGGTATAGGGACGTGTTAGGTATAGGGACATGTTAGGTATAGGGACGTGTTAGGTATAGGGACGTGTTAGGTATAGGGCTGTGTTAGGTATAGGGACGTGTTAGGTATAGGGACGTGTTAGGTATAGGGCTGTGTTAGGTATAGGGACGTTTTAGGTATAGGGACGTGTTAGGTATAGACACATGTTAGGTATAGGGCTGTGTTAGGTATAGGGACGTGTTAGGTATAGGGACATGTTAGGTATAGGGCTGTGTTAGGTATAGGGACATGTTAGGTATAGGGACGTGTTAGGTATAGGGACATGTTAGGTATAGGGACGTGTTAGGTATAGGGACGTGTTAGGTATAGGCACATGTTAGGTATAGGCACATGTTAGGTATAGGGCTGTGTTAGGTATAGGGACATGTTAGGTATAGGGACATGTTAGGTATAGGGACGTGTTAGGTATAGGTACGTGTTAGGTATAGGTACGTGTTAGGTATAGGTACGTGTTAGGTATAGGGACGTGTTAGGTATAGGCACTTGTTAGGTATAGGGACATGTTAGGTATTGGGACATGTTAGGTATAGGGACATGTTAGGTATAGGGCTGTTAGGTATAGGGCTGTGTTAGGTATAGGGACATGTTAGGTATAGGGACATGTTAGGTATAGGGACATGTTAGGTATAGGGACATGTTAGGTATAGGGCTGTGTTAGGTATAGGGCTGTGTTAGGTATAGGTACGTGTTAGGTATAGGCACTTGTTAGGTATAGGGACGTGTTAGGTATAGGGATGTGTTAGGTATAGGGACTTGTTAGGTATAGTGACGTGTTAGGTATAGGCACTTGTTAGGTATAGGGACGTGTTAGGTATAGGGACTTGTTAGGTATAGGCACTTGTTAGGTATAGGGACTTGTTAGGTATAGGGACATGTTAGGTATAGGGACATTTTAGGTATAGGGACATGTTAGGTATAGGGACATGTTAGGTATAGGGACATGTTAGGTATAGGGACATGTTAGGTATAGGGACATGTTAGGTATAGGGACATGTTAGGTATAGGGACGTGTTAGGTATAGGGCTGTGTTAGGTATAGGGACGTGTTAGGTATAGGGACGTGTTAGGTATAGGGACATGTTAGGTATAGGGACATGTTAGGTATAGGGCTGTGTTAGGTATAGGGCTGTGTTAGGTATAGGTACGTGCTAGGTATAGGGACGTGTTAGGTATAGGGACGTGTTAGGTATAGGGACGTGTTAGGTATAGGGACGTGTTAGGTATAGGCACTTGTTAGGTATAGGCACTTGTTAGGTATAGGGACGTGTTAGGTATAGGGACGTGTTAGGTATAGGGACGTGTTAGGTATAGGGACGTGTTAGGTAAAGGTACTTGTTAGGTATAGGGACGTGTTAGGTATAGGCACTTATTAGGTATAGGGACGTGTTAGGTATAGGGACATGTTAGGTATAGGCACTTGTTAGGTATAGGCACTTGTTAGGTATAGGGACGTGTTAGGTATAGGCACTTGTTAGGTATAGGGACGTGTTAGGTATAGGGGCTTGTTAGGTATAGGGACGTGTTAGGTAGAGGCACTTGTTAGGTACAGGCACTTGTTAGGTATAGGCACTTGTTAGGTATAGGCACTTGTTAGGTATAGGGACGTGTTAGGTATAGGTACTTGTTAGGTATAGGCACTTGTTAGGTATAGGGACGTGTCAGGTATAGGCACTTGTTAGGTATAGGGACATGTTAGGTATAGGGACATGTTCGGTATTTTGTGTGATTTTCGCTGGCACAGAAAAGGAGTAATTACATTGTGATTCATTTGCTGTGAAGTTGGAACTGTGACTAACTATTTTATCTGTCAGAGCTACCCCTCATCAAAGTTTGACAATGAATGAAACAAGTCTGCTTTGCAACTTTCTTTGTCTAGCATTGGGTAAATCTGATAAACACGTTTTATTTAAATATGAGGCTTCTAAAGTCTTGTTGGCATGCATGAAGAAGTCTGCTCGGAGGCCATATTGTTTTCACACAGATACTTAGTAACTCGGTAAAGCTCACAAACATGTTACATTATAGGCTTTTAACCATGTTTTCTAATAAGCCTAATGGTCCGCATGTGAGACATCAATAACAGGAAATACCATTCAAAAGACAAGACACAGAAACTATGTTTTTTCCCATGTGGGTTCCAGGACCCATTTTGGGAAGAGGAGGGATAAAAACAGACCAACTCCCCACACCAATAAGCATGTCATAAAAGGCAGCTAACTAGGGTGTTTTCTTTAAAGTCGGAGTACATCTGCATGAGAGGCGAGGAACCAACAGATGTGCATGTTCTGGAACAAGGCCAAATTTCAAAAGTGGATGAATAACTAAAACATTTTGCTGGAGTTTACAGCTGGTGAACGCCAAGAAGTAAAGGCCTAACAGTTCACATACTAGTCATATTCCTCTTTCCGCCCTAATATAGGGTGCAATTGTTTTTTCTTTCTTATTTACTGCCCCACCCCGGCTGTTGTCAGGGGCCCTTAAATAACCTAACAATTGAACAAGGTTCCTAGGACTTGTGCCTGGATGATCCTCATCCGAAAATAGTGACACTTTGGGTCACCAGGTGTTGGTCACTCATTGTGCGGTCTTGGTGGGGTTGAATGTTGCTCACTCACATACTAGAGACAGTATTTAGTATGGGGCTACCTTTTTACTGTAATATTAAAGATCAAAAGTACTGATTTTGGTTCCATCATCATCATGAGGCAGGTCCTTTGTAGAACGCCGCTATCATCACAGTTTTGGTTTCTTGTCACTTCCTGTGCTCATCTTTGGGTGATAGTACACATCCCTGTCTAACACCTTGTTTAATCTTTTGAACAGTTCCAACTTTGTTGTCAATCCTTATGGCTGCTTTTTGTTGCCAGTATATGTTTTTTCTTTTATCTTTATGATCAATTATTAAGGTCATAAAATTACGATTGATGTTGGCAATATCACCCAGAGTTATCCGTAAGTAAGAGTTCATCTGGGCAGCTGAAAAAAGTGCTCTATGTGTTTTGAAAGAGGCGAGGGACTAAGGCAATAATTTACAAATATCAGAAAGAGACATTCATCTTTGTTTGGTCAAGTTATTAGAAGACAGAAACTAGAACCTGCTTCTCGAGTCAATTCTTTCTTAAAATAATCTGTTCTCCAGGCGATGCCGGCGTGGTGGGTGATGAACAGGCAGACAGATTGGCTGGATCTGCACCACTGGGTGGTGATTTGATACATGCTAAGGCAAATGAGGTCAAGGCCCTTTGGGAACAAACAACAGAATCAGTAGAGATAGAATATTATTATGGCCTGGAGAGAATAAGGCACCTGGGTGTAACCAGAGGGTCTGGCCGGCTCACTACACTCAGAGGCAAGGCAAGACATACATATAACCAGATTATGACAGGTACCATCAGTATTGGAACTATGTGCTGGCTGCTGAAGATGAGGACGGACCATGCATGGGAATGCCCCAAATGCTGTGATGTCAATTCTTGACTCTACTCAACTAAACTCTCAAAATAATATGTACTAAATTTGAAAACGTGTTATTTGCATACTTTCCCTCCACTAATATTGAAAAAAGCAGATAAAAGAATAAGAAAAAACACCAACTAAAAATAGTTAAAAAAAAAAAAAAAAAACATGAAGATGGGAACTTGATAGTAAAACAAAAAACAAAGCTAGGTCATGGGATGAGGGGATGGGATGAAAGCAAAGATGGGACTACTTGGCGTGAGCTGCTTGAGAGTCTGTGCTCCACTGGGAAATCAATGGCAGAAAAAGAAGATTAAGGAATACACTTAGCTGCTGCCATAAAAACTGTTTTAAAAATAAAAATAAAAAATTCCTTAAAAGATTTTTTTTTAAACAAAAACATATTTACAAGTCTCTTTTCTGTGACAGCACATTCAGAGGTATACACCGAACCAAAGAGGACAATGGCTACACACTTTTAATACTTTCCAAATATGATCACTACGCAGCAGCAAATGAAAATTACGAATAGGCTTTCTCAAAATGGAAAGTCAAACAGGGGCACCGATACATATACAATACGGCTGGCGCCCCAAGGGACCTAAGCCCTGTTAACTGTGTAATAATAATAATGGGAAGAATGGCAAATAAATATAACAATATATTTAAACTGATACGAAGTTTATAACATAATATGGTCAAACAAACGTTAGTCTCCCCACATAAAGTAGGTCACGTTCCATTGATAACTTTCTTGGACCGGTGTAACCTGCTGGACGTTACGGGTGTGCTGCTTTGTTATTTGCTATCTGGGATGTCTTGCATTTACTTTTTTTCCCGAGAAAGAGAATGCCAGTGACATGGGTTTCATCACTCTCTAAAGGGGTTTTGTGTTAGACCCAGTTTGTCAATGTTTTTGTAGTGTTAAAGGCGCTGGAATGCTGAAATATAGAAGACGCGATAACAACGGCATTGGGGGAGGTGGAGCGGGAATATCCCCGTCACCTTGTGCCAAGGACATGTGGCTTAAGGTCGACTAATTAGAAGTGAGCTAGGAAGAAGGTCGACCTATCGGAAGGGAGAGAGTGTGTATATAGGCGGTCCGTGGGAAGACTAAAGTTTATATTGTCCGGAATGTGAAAAAAATAAGAGCAATTCAATAAATTAGAGAGGGGCTGGGTGGTAAATCCTCTGGCGCATTTTCTAAGAGGGTGGGTGTGGTAGAGAGCTCAGAGTGCTTAAGCAATTTTTTTTTTTTTTTGGGTGCCTTTTGCCTCAAAACTTTGTTAATATTTTCTCGGTGACGTTCCGTGAATAGATGACGATTTTGCAGACTCACTCTGCAGACTTCCAGCGACAGACCAACACTGGCATGCTGGCGTGGTGGACGATGTAGTCGCTGACACTGCCCATAATGGTTCTGCGGAACTTGCCCAAGCCGCGGGTGCCGGTGACGATAAATGTGGCGTTCTCTTCGCTGGCGATGGTTACTATCTTTTCTCCGGGTTTCCCCGATGTGCTTCTGAATTTCCCCGTGATCTGTTTCAATGGATACAAAAATATCCAAACGTCATAAATACAAAATTAGATATTCCTTATGATTTTAAAGTCTACGGTTAAGCACCAGCAAAGAAATAAAAGTTGCCATTATAAGAGCTGGCGTCTTCCTTGTAGCAACATAACGGATGTGAGTCGTGGACTAAAGGAAGACAGAAGTCGCAGTCACAAAGGTAGAAAATAGAGGCTTTTAAACGGAAATGCTGTAGAACAATTGCCAGAATACCATGATTGGGGGGGGGGGGGGGGGGGGTTTTAACCGGGGGAGGGAAGGGGGGGGGGGGTTGAGAACAAGAACTGCCATCCTGGAAAATCTGAACGTAGAGGAAGATTTGTTAGTTCTTTTTCTTCTCTTTCACCTTTTGCCTCAGCGAAGTGTCGGGGGGGGGGGGGGGATGTAACATTCGTTGATGAACTTTGTCAAGATCACTATTAAGACTAATGTTCATTTCTGTAAGGCTGGCCTTAATGCCATCCCTTCCTATTTTCCGAGGTCTTCCACTCGCTCTATACCCGTTCTTACGTTTTAGTGTGGCTCGCTGTGGCAGATACTGCCTGGGCATTCTTGTTAGGTGTCCAAACCATTTCATTTGTGCTTCTTTGAGGACTTGTAAGACTGACTTTATTCCTAGCATTCGTCCGATTTCGTTTTCTGTCTGTCCTTAAAACTCCTGTGGTTCTAAGGCATTTCATATCTGTTGTCACAATTTTACGTTCATTGGAGGATGTCAGTGTCCACGTTTGGCACTGATAGCATGGTGTTGGCCAAAAAATAGTTCTGGTAGGATTTACTGAAGGACTCATGGGGGGAAAGGAAAAAAGGGGGTGGGGGGTGTTTCTGCTTGTTTGTCAACAGGGGAGATAGTTGCCCGATTACTTGATTAACTTTGGCACATCTCAAACTAGTTTTTCTTGTCCCGTTTTCCGTCGGATGTGAAAATTGCTCCCAAATACCTAAATTCATCTGTTTGTCTAAAGATGTTGTTTTTTAATTTAATTCTAAAGTGTCTTTCTGTCTTCCTGTCTCCATTGTCTCAAGATTGGCTGGTAAACTAAAATGTTGGCCACATCAAGCGCCCAAGCGGATTAAAAAGAAAAATAAATAATAACAAGGTACCAGGAAAGAGGAGCAGGGGCCGACCAACCCGAAGATGGGCACATGATATAAGTGACTGCTTGAATAGTTAATTGGTGGAGGCGGGAGAGCTGGCGAGAGACCGAGTGTTGTTGTTTTTCTTCTACACAAACGGCATGAGAGCGACGTTCTGCAAAGAATGAGGATACACGTAATATTTATTAATTGTACTGCTTTTGATCGAATTCTTTTATATTTACGCTTCATCGACGTTGGCGACTTGATCATTTCTTTATAATAATCATTTTAGATGACATGTGTAACATTACCACATGTGAGACGAGATGCCCGAAAAAGCTACCAACTTAACCATGGAGACCGAGTCAGATATCATACAGACAGACTGTGGGGGAAAACAACGCCTTACACCAAAGTAACTGAGGAGCAGAAAGTCAAATGGTTTGGTCATCTCGTTTAGAATGTAGAGACAACTACCAAAAACACAAGCGCTGCACCTGAAAAAATGTGATGTGACATCAAGAGGACGCCCACGAAGAGGATGCGGTGATGAAGAATCTTCTACATCCACCCGAAAAAGGCAACCTCTCGAGAAATGGATCACAAATTGCCCGCCCCCCCCCCCCTCACAGCCCCCGCCCTCCCACGTCTCTTGATTGTAAAAGTGGAGATTGATGATGATGGACAGTAATTTAAGGTAGATACATTTCTTGATTGGCGTAGGCTGTCATGTTTTGCCATCTCACATTAACAGGTTATTGTTCCTGTCTAGCCCCATCCATCTGGCCAAGCCATCCATATATTTTTCTCATTGCCTTCAACCAATTTCGACAGTTGTTACAAAGTTTTCTAGTCACACCACTGTCTGTCCACGTCTGCCTGTTCTAATATGTTTACGACTTTAATCTGTCTTGATGAGGACTGCTTGTCTTTCTATCACTTCATTATTATTATTATTATTATTATTTTTGCATTCTTCAATAAACCACATCTATGCCGCGAGTAAATTCCTCCTCCCCCCCCCCCCACTTTTTTTGTACACAGATATATATTTTCATTATGCTATTCTGCTCAGTAATAGCACCAATGAGTGACATACACAGAAAAGCAGGTGATTTAGCAAATATGCAATCACAAATCTTAACTACAAATTGATTATAAAAACTCCATATAATGAAGACATAAACAGCAGATCAAATATTTGTCACACTGTTTTCCATATTAGACTGTAATTTTGATTGACCAAAAAATACTATTAACAAAAATTATGATATATCTTCCTCTGTGAAGGTGGATACGAGACACTGCAGATGCACTGGCTATGAAAGGCCACAGGGCCGGAGAACTGGCTAGAAGCCCACAGGGCTAGGGAACTGGCTAGAAGCACACAGGGCTGGAGAACTAGCTAGAAGCACACAGGGTTGGGGAACTGGCTAGAAGCACACAGGGCCGGGGAACTAGCTAGAAGCACGCAAGGCTGGGGAACTGGCTAGAAGCACACAGGGATGGAGAACTAGCTAGAAGCACACAGGACTGGAGAACTGTCTAGAAGCACACAGGACTGGGGAACTGGCTAGAAGCACACAGGACTGGAGAACTGGCTAGAAGTACACAGGACTGGGGAACTGGCTAGAGGCACACAGGACTGGAGAACTGGCTAGAAGCACACAGGACTGGGGAACTGGCTAGAAGCACACAGGACTGGAGAACTGGCTAGAAGCACACAGGACTGGGGAACTGGCTAGAAGCACACAGGACTGGAGAACTGGCTAGAAGTACACAGGACTGGGGAACTGGCTAGAGGCACACAGGACTGGAGAACTGGCTAGAAGCACACAGGACTGGGGAACTGGCTAGAAGTACACAGGACTGGAGAACTGTCTAGAAGCACACAGGACTGGGGAACTGTCTAGAAGCACACAGGACTGGAGAACTGGCTAGAAGCACACAGGACTGGGGAACTGGCTAGAAGTACACAGGACTGGAGAACTGGCTAGAAGCACACAGGGTTGGGGAACTGGCTAGAAGCACAGAGGGATGGAGAACTAGCTAGAAGCACACATGGTCGGAGAACTAGCTAGAAGTACACATGACCGGAGAACTGGCTAGAAGCACACAGGGTTCGAGAACCGGCTAGATAAAGTAAGACTTGTAGGCGCTCTGTGACGAGCAAAATAGCTTTAGTTTTTCAAAATCTCAACAAAATGCCATGTCATTAGTCAGCAGGTTCTTTACAGAAGGTCGCTTTCGTTACGGCACCTTGGAAAGTCTCCCTTTTTCTAACCAGTTCCCCAGCTCTATGTGGTTTTATAGCCAATGCATATTAAGTATTTCTTTGTCAATCAAATTTAGTCATTACAGGAGTGGAAAGGGGTGTGGGGGGGGGGGATGGTTGGTGATTGGGTCTTAAGTGCCTCTTTTTTACGGGAACGTGGGCAGGGGGGGGGAAGGGGAGGTGGGGTGAAGTTTCTGAAGGCACCTAGAGCATCTAAGTTCTAGCTCTACTGAAAGCATGTACATTAAAATAAAATATAATAACGCATATATACATGAACATTGTGTCTTACATTTCTTGACAGTAGCTTGTCTCTGTACTTTCTCTCCAGGTCATGAACTCCTTCCTCTATCTCCTTCAGTAACTGCTCTACCACTGATGGACCTTTGGATCCGTAGATTTAAAAAACAATCATTTATTTAATCGCCTAAAAGCAGGTGTCATGATCATGGTAGGGGTGGAGATTGGGTAAACGTGGGACTGCCAGCAAAGCACTAAACATGTCATTGTCAAGGTGTGCACACAAGCCATGGAACGAACGAACGAACGAACGAACAAACTTTATTTTTAAAGGGTTAAGAATTGGGCACGCAGGCCCGTCTAACATTCTGCCCTTCGAGGTCTCCCTCCATTCTTACATCATTTCATTCACACATCAAGTAATATTAAAAGTTCGCAATAGCATCAAAATAATCAATACAAGCACTGGAATGTGCACATTTTTAACTACAGTAAAACGTATTAGTTGTAACAAATCTAAGGAAAATGGGCGCTATTTTTCACAAATGTTTTATCTTCTATGGGGGCATATAATCGGTGCTGAGATAATATTCGAACAGTTTCCGATTGTATGTATATGGACTAGTGGTACTTTTGATTTGCTGTGGTAGATAATTCCACAATTGAGCTGCGGAATATGACAACTTGTTTTATAAAGGTCTATCCTAGGTTTAGGGATGTGTAATATGTTTAGGCGCTTACTATGCCTTTCATTATATTTAAACAACGGCCATAAGTAACATGGAGCCTTTTGAGATAATATTTTGTTAGTATATTTCGCCTTATTGAAAAGTAGACGTTCACGAAGCGGTAGTAGCCTAAGACCTTTATATGTTTCGGAGCTCACTGTTCCATGATTGTTACTAATTAAGCGAATGGCGCGCTTTTGCAGTTATGTAAGCCGCTTGATAACAGAGCTGGAACAGCCATCCCATATTGTAGAGCAATAGTCTATATATGTCTGGATGTGAGAAATATAGAATATCTTTCTTGTGTATTCATCAAGAAAGTTTTTAATTTTTGCAAGCTGGTACACCTTTTTAGCTGTTTGCTTCACAAGTGCTTGTACGTGTGAGTAGAAGGTTAGATTTGCATCAATTACCAGCCCCAGTGTCTTGTGCTCAGTTACATTTTCTACTTGAGTGCTCCCAATGTAGAGTTGAAGCGTTCTCTGAGAATTTAAACTGTATAGTTTTTGTCTGGTCGTTATTAGCATAGATTTGGTTTCATTAATGTTTATTTGCATACGGTTTGCACTGCTCCATTGGACTACATTATTTAATTCTTGTTGTAATGATGACTCGAGTACATTACACGTTTGAGCATTTGCATAGATGGTACAGTCGTCTGCGAATAAATCGCAGGACGACGACAGACATAAAGGAAGGTCATTTATGTAGATATTGAATAACAGAGGGCCGAGAATCGAGCCTTGAGGTACCCCAGTATTTAAGTCAGTGGTCTGCAATAGTGATTTATTGTAACAGATTATTTGTTTTCTATTTAACAAAAAGGATTTAATTAGCTTTAATAGCCTTGGGTTAAATTTCATTGTTTCTAATCTTTATAAGAATGTTATGGTCTATCATGTCAAAAGCTTTCTTAAAGTCTATAAACACCCCGCCACATATTTTCTCATCCTTAACATTCTGGTGCCATTTTTTAATCATGTTAGTTAAGGCAGTATGGCAAGAATAGTTTGGTCGAAAACCTGATTGGTTATCCACTATAAGTTTGTTGTGATCTAAGTGCTGAAAAGTTACATTATGAATATGTTTCTCTAGTGGTTTCGATAGTGAAGATAACAGGGAGATTGGTCTATAGTTACATGGAATACTACTGTCTAAGGAACCAGATTTTAGATGTGAATACACTTTGGCAATCTTAAATGCAGATGGGAAGTAGCCTCTGACAAGACATTGGTTGTAAATAAAGGTCATCGACTCACAAATAACTGGGGCAGCACTGAGAAGGATCCTATTGCTGATTCCGTCTAAACCGGATGTATTACTGTTTCTGAGACTGTTGAAATGTATAAAAACTTCCGCAACTGTCATGAGAGGAATGTCAGAAGGGAATGTCCTCAGAGCATTTATTTTCACAAAATGCTGATAACAGTGATAAATCACATGGGCAGTTTGGCATTGTGGTTTTTAACTTTTCTATATTGGCTTCAAAGAAATTACTGAAATCATCCGATGTTATATTAGATGTCAGCAAACGCGTTGAAGTACCTTTGTTTGCCAATGTATTTATTGCCTTACATTTATCTTTGCTGTTTCTCTTATCTACTATTAGCTGTTTAAAAAAAGTTCTTTTTTTCTTACGAATGGTATACTGGACTTTGTTTCGCAAATTCCGGTATGTGAGTATATCCTTATTTTTATGCGCCCTATCTCGCTCTCTCATAATTGCAACTACCTCCTGTGTGATCCAAGGGGATTTAGTTTAATGTTTCACACGGACCTCTTTAACTGGCACGCGCTTATCAAATACACTAGAGAAGGTCTTCAGCCAATATTCCAGATCGTCATCTGAATCAGGGAGTTGGTAAACGTGGTCAAGAGGTGAATTGAACAAGTCTAGTAGGAATGCATCTTGATTAAAATTTTTATAGCTTCTAAATTTAATACTTATATATTTTTGTTTGACAGTTTTTACGCCTTTTTTATTCCACACACAAATTACGGGGTAATGGTCACTCAATGTTGTAGTGGGTACCTTGCATTCTATAATGTTGTTCGGACATGTTGCATAAATATGGTCTATGAGGGTTGACGACGATTTAGTTATTCTAGTAGCTTGTTTGACTAGTTGTTTGAGATTAAATGAGGTAATTATGTCTTCCCACGTCTTGTTGGATTTTAGGGCATTTATATTGAAGTCCCCAAGAAGTATAATTTCCCCTACATTATTGAACACAGTATCCATCATATTGGTAACATTTTTATACCATATATTATCAGCGCTAGGATTGCGGTAGAGATAACCAACTACGATGGGTCTGTGGTTTTGTAGCTTAACTTCTAAAAATATGCATTCTACATCGCTAGTCTCTAAGTCTAGTCTACGTTGGACATTAAGTGAATGACAGACGTAGACCGCTATACCCGTTTCTTGTTTCTTATGTGGGTCTCTCCTAATAACACTAAAACCATTAACATGTATATCATCATCTGTAATGTTGTCATTTAATCTACTCTCACTGAGGCCGAACATCTGAAAATTTTGACTAAGAATAAGGGACAGTTCGGGCAGTTTTCCCAGAAGATGGCAAATATTCAGATGACCTAATCTAAGCCCAGTTTTACTAAGCCAGTGCTCATGTGTGTCAGACATTATAAACTGCAGTGTGGCAATAGAATATATGCTATACCAGCACCAGCATATACCAAGCTACAAAAAAATATTATTCAGGCAATACAAGAGTAAAACAAATTTACTACAATAATATAGTATTGAAAGAGGGAAAAAAATTGGGTAAAACAGTTAAAATGGAGATAGTGCAGGAAAAATGAATTACACTGTTTTAACTCATATACACCACCACCTAACTTACAGTTTATCAGATTTAAGCAGTGTTATAACTAGCTCAAATAATATACAAAATAAGTGTAGTTTGATAGACAAATGACTGTTTATAAGTATGGCTGTGTAACCCACTGCTGATCGAGTGGGCAACACAGTAACAATGAAATAAGCGCTTAAAAAAACTTGTCCGACTGATATAGGATATGGGAAGCGGTTTTTTTGCATGCATGCATGCATGAATGTGTGTCTGTGTGTCTGTGTGTGTGTGTGTGTGTGCGTGTGCGTGTGTGTATATATGTATGTATGTGTGTGTGTATGTATGTATGTATGTATGCATGTATGCGTGCGTGCGTGTGTGTCTGTGTATGTATGTATGATGTTTGTATGTATGGGTGTAGGTATGCCGGTGTGAGTGTATTATGTGGGTGTGTCTGTGTGAGTGTGTTGGGTATGTATGAAGGTGTGTGTGTGTGCACGCGAGTGTGTGCATGCATTTTCCTATCCATGCTTTTGTGTTTTTCATGATATTCATAATATGTAATATTATTATTTAATCATAACATGCTTTATTGATTAAATACAACTGCTGTGTGAAAGAGCCAAATGTAAGACGGGCCTGCGTGCCGAATTTATGACCCTTTGAAAATAAAGTTCGTTCGTTCGTTTGTTTGGTCGTTCGTTCTCTTTCTCTCTCTCTCTCTCTCTCTCTCTCTCTCTCTCTCTCTCTCTCTCTCTCTCTCTCTCTCTCTCTCCCTCTCTCTCCCTCGTCGCTTTGTAAAAGATGGGTGTTCGGAAGGGCCGCATATAAGACGGGCCAGCGTGCCTAATGTATTACCCTTTGAAAATAAAGTTCGTTCATTCGTTCGTTGTCTTATATTACGTGTTCAAAACACCGTCACCCAAACAGACATGAATATTATTATCATTGTCTCCTCCTCGTCCTCCTTCTTCTCGTCCTCCTCCATGTCCTCCTCCTCCTAGTCCTCGTCCTCCTCCTCCTCGTCCTCCTCCTCGTCCTCCTCGTCCTCCTCCTCCTCCTCCTTCTTCTAGTCCTCCTCCTCCTCCTCCTTTTTTTCGTCCCCCTCCTCCTCCTAGTCCTCGTCCTACTCGTCGTCCTTGTTCTCCTCCTCGTCCTCGTCCTCCTCGTCCTCCTCCTCGTCCTCTTCCTCCTCGTTCTTCTCCTCGTCCTCCTCCTCCTAGTCCTTGTCCTCACCCTCCTCCTCCTCGCCCTCCTCCATGCCCTCTTCCTCCTCGTCCTCGTCCTCCTCCATGTCCTCCTCCTCCTCTTGCGGGGAAGGGGGTCAAGAGACATGAACCTCTGAGGTTCAAGTGCCTAATCTGCTATCACTCCAGTAAAGAAACGGTAACATTTGAGAAAGCTCAACGTTCGTGCACTTACTTGCCATGGTGAGGTCGCGTTCGTGCACTTACTTGCCATGGTGAGGTCGCGTTCGTGCACTTACTTGCCATGGTGAGGTCGCGTTCGTGCACTTACTTGCCATGGTGAGGTCGCGTTCGTGCACTTACTTGCCATGGTGAGGTCGCGTTCGTGCACTTACTTGCCATGGTGAGGTCGCGTTCGTGCACTTACTTGCCATGGTGAGGTCGCGTTCGTGCACTTACTTGCCATGGTGAGGTCGCGTTCGTGCACTTACTTGCCATGGTGAGGTCGCGTTCGTGCACTTACTTGCCATGGTGAGGTCGCGTTCGTGCACTTACTTGCCATGGTGAGGTCGCGTTCGTGCACTTACTTGCCATGGTGAGGTCGCGTTCGTGCACTTACTTGCCATGGTGAGGTCGCGTTCGTGCACTTACTTGCAATGGTGAGGTCGCGTTCGTGCACTTACTTGCCATGGTGAGGTCGCGTTCGTGCACTTACTTGCCATGGTGATGGTCGCGTTCGTGCACTTACTTGCCATGGTGAGGTCGCGTTCGTGCACTTACTTGCCATGGTGAGGTCGCGTTCGTGCACTTACTTGCCATGGTGAGGTCGCGTTCGTGCACTTACTTGCCATGGTGAGGTCGCGTTCGTGCACTTACTTGCCATGGTGAGGTCGCGTTCGTGCACTTACTTGCCATGGTGAGGTCGCGTTCGTGCACTTACTTGCCATGGTGAGGTCACGTTCCTGCACTTACTTGCCATGGTGAGGTCACGTTCCTGCACTTACTTGCCATGGTGAGGTCGCGTTCCTGCACTTACTTGCCATGGTGAGGTCACGTTCCTGCACTTACTTGCCATGGTGAGGTCGCGTTCCTGCACTTACTTGCCATGGTGAGGTCGCGTTCGTGCACTTACTTGCCATGGTGAGGTCGCGTTCGTGCACTTACTTGCCATGGTGAGGTCACGTTCGTGCACTTACTTGCCATGGTGAGGTCACGTTCCTGCACTTACTTGCCATGGTGAGGTCACGTTCCTGCACTTACTTGCCATGGTGAGGTCACGTTCCTGCACTTACTTGCCATGGTGAGGTCACGTTCCTGCACTTACTTGCCATGGTGAGGTCGCGTTCGTGCACTTACTTGCCATGGTGAGGTCGCGTTCGTGCACTTACTTGCCATGGTGAGGTCTCGTTCGTGCACTTACTTGCCATGGTGAGGTCGCGTTCGTGCACTTACTTGCCATGGTGAGGTCGTATGTTTCCGGAATATGAATCAGAACTAAGAAGTCGCCATCCTTGTAGATATAGTCGCAGTACCCTGTAACAGGACATACAGATAAGTTGAATGATCACCTTATATATATATATATATATATATATATATATATATATATATATATATATATATATATATATATATATAAAATGTGTATGTGTGTTTTTGTGTGTGTAATGACCCTGGCTCCCAGGTCGATTCAGCCTTGGCGGTTGCAGTACCAGGAAGTAAAGGTGGCCGGCGTGTTGCTGACCACATCACTCATCTTGTGCCGATTGGTCTATAAAATATAGGTCTAGTCCTATATGCCCTATGTGCCCTATACACCTAAAGGCGTGGAAAAATGTCGCTGTCTTTATATGTGGGTGTGTACATATACATATGCACACACACACACACACACACATAAAGTGTTAATTATGATACCCATTTGCAAGGTAAAAACCATCCCAATATGGGTCGCAATTGTTTGTTATTTTAAAATCCCACCCCGTGTGTCGTCGGGAGCCCTAACATAACCTAACACTAGAAAGGAGTTTCTGGGACTTGTATCAGGGTGATTATCATCTCAATGGTGGCACTTTGTGTCACCGGCTGTTTGTCGCTCGTTATGCGGCACTGGTGAGGTTGAACGTCACAGTCACACAGTAGCAAGGAGACAGCAGCTTTTAACTGCCTGAAGAAAAAAAAAATATCCAAGTTTCATTTTGTCAGTTCTAATATTATTTTATTTTTAACATTTGTCATGGAGACTTTTAGAACCACTATAGACATAAAACGAAAGTTAAATACATTCAAAGATAAAAACATCCGGAGTTTACAGCCGATGAAAGCGAAGAAGTAGAAGTAATTAGATATATTCAAAAAAGGTTGAGAATTAGGAGAAATGCCTGGACAACCATTTATATCAATAGTTTTTAAAGGAAAAGAGGGGGGGGGGGGGTTTACAGTATGTTGGGCAAACCACGAGGAAAAACGGGTAGAGAATCACTAAACAGGCACCAACAGTGGAAACAAATGGCATATATACATGATACACCATGAGAGGAACGGGCCGAGAATCACTAAAAGACACTGACATGGGAAACAAATGAAAATATATCAGGCAAACCATGACGAGGAACGGGTAGAGAATCACTAAACAGGCACCAGCATGGGAAACAAATGACAATATATTGGGCAAACTATGACGAGGAAAGGACAGATAAACCTTTAGCCCATGAAAAGAAACTGACAGATAATAATTAAACAGGCAGTGACGCGGGAAACAAATGGACTGCGGAAACGAGGGCATCCTTAAAAAACTCCAAGATGAACGTTGATAAGGGACGCTAAAGGTGCTGCACTTGATTCCTTCTATGACATTCAACAGTTGCACAGGACAGAACAGAATGAAAGTATAAACTGTGCCCTACGTGAAGCGTGTGGCCACACACTAGGATGGTGGTGATACCAGTGTTCAACATTACTCTCCACGCCTGGTAAGAGGTAGGTGGGTGCTTTGCTAAAGGAAAAAAAATTTAGCCACGTTCAACCAGCATCCTAGAAAGAGAAGCTTTAGGTTATAATTGTGACCAGGTTATGTGAGCCATATAAAAAAGCTTAGCGTTGCACGTTACCAAGAGCGCTGATCCAAATACTGCTCCAACCCTCTCGCCGATCTATGCTACAAGCCAGCAACTTGATTTATATTCAAATCCGAAAATAGCCGACGCCAACATCGTCGACTCCGGAAACGAGGAATCCGGATTGTTTGGATTAATGTTCCCATAAATATTAATGGGAATCTCTCACAGGCCAACGATATTGCGGTGACTTCAAGCGGGCTAGATAGGGGAAACTGGAACCCGTAAGATGTGCTAGTTAAAGAAAGAGGTCTAATCACTCAGTGTTTAATCATGAGAAATTAGCCTGGGTGAAAAGACGGGACAAATGCGAGATTGCTGGCTGCATAGTTTTACATATGATATATGAGTTTGTTGGGGAAATACTGACTGCGGTCAACCTTTGCTCCGGGAATTATAGTTCTACTTGTATTTGTATTCTGATGATCGCTGCACATTAAGCGTCGGTCATATAGAAGGTTAATCAAGCCGGAAATTGGTGTCACAGTAGTAATGGGCAGAATATCGGGTGCAGGGGCCGACCAGCACACAAATGATGACGTGGGAGACAACTTGGTCAAGAGGAGCCGAGTGTCTTTCATGCAGACACGATGGGAGCGACGTTCTGTAAAGGACCAGCTATATGATGGTGATGAGATTTAGTAGCATCGATAGCTGTAGCATCATCATCGTCATTAAATTCGTCGACGTCCTAATCATTATCTTCACATTATCATCTTTATCGACAAAAACATCACAGTCGTTTTCATTATCATCATAATCATCACCATCATTATCATCATTATCAAGATCTATCTCTGCATCTGAAATTTGCTCTTACTATTATCCCACCGGGAGTCGCCGTGGCGGAGCGGCTAGACGCACGCCGCGGATCGAAAGGTCGTGGGTTCGCTCCCTGGCGGAGCCGGACTTTTCTTCAAAAATGACCTTGGACCCAGGTCGACCCAGCCTTCCGTGGGTACCGGGTGCAGTCCTGGGAAGTAAAGGCAGCCGGCGTGATGATAACCACATCACCTATCTTGTGCCGATTGATCAATACAAATAAAGATCTAACCCTATATGCCCTGTACGCCTAAAGGCGTGGAAGGGGGTCCTTTACTTACTTATTATCCCACCTTGTCTACCCTTACCTGTACAGTACTCTCTGGCGTATGGTAGCTTACTTCTTCATATCGTCTTCACACACACACACACACATGCTTACAAACGTTAATACACACACACTCATACGTACATTCGTACACACACACATATATATAACATCTTCTGGCTTTTTCTTCTTATTGTCTATGCCGTGTGGCGTTGGTAGCCATGTCTATCCACAACCTTCTATCTAGTGTAGTTTCAGTCATTTCTGACACAGATAATCTTCCATGTCATGATATCAAACTGTCTGGAATCTTCTCACTCTGCCTCTGTCTCCTCCAAATTTACCACCGTCACAATGTTTTCGTTTCTTCTTCTCTTGATTTGACTAATAAATGTTGATTGCCTTCTGCTGATGCAGGCATTCAGTTCTCTTTGTGAGTTAGTTTCTTTCGAGAGACCCCCGTTTCTTTTTTTTTTTTTTTTTTTTTTTACTTCTAAGGATATTCTCATCATTTGTCTATAAAACCATATCTCAGCTCTTCCAAATAAGTTTTCACTAATGATATTTCTCGCCTCAGTTGACGAAGAAAGACTGCATACAATATTCTTTATTTTGCTTAAGCTCGTCTACCTTTGAATTCTTTAATACATCTTGCATCTGCTATTATCAGTGTACCCAAATACTTGAACGTATCAACTTGCTCGACTGTTTATTAACTTTGATGCTGCCTTTTTGAGGGTCAATTGTCCTAGTAAATATCATTACTTCTGTTTTCATGCTAAAACTAAAGCCCTTGCTTTGGTTTATGTTATAATTATGTCCATTATTATATGTACTTGTGTTTTACTTTAGCGATCGAAACTATACCGATAGCATATAGCAGGTTGTCAATGTGAGACACGACTAGTTACTTCAGAAAGTGTCTTTCTCCAGCTTGATATGTATTTTAAAGTATAGAGAAAACTATGTTCCTATGCTGTAACATAAATCCAGGTCGACTAGAACAAGGCCGCTTAATTTGACTGCAGTTGATATCAAACACTCATATTCTTGCCCAGAGGTAAGGTGTCAAGAATCCAGATAACAATGACCAGGTGGACTTGGTGGCACTAATGAAGTGGAAAGTACAGATCATCTAGCTTTGGGTGCCATAAAATTATCAGAGATCAGACACTTAAAGGCAGGTAACTCGTGATAAAAATAATGATCTCCCCCTGAGATTACCCCACTTGAGTGCAGGTCTGATAACTGGCTACTTGTGACACTGGTCTAATGGAGGTTGTTAGCAGACGGGAATGTGGAAGGAGATGTGACGTTGTTTATGACCATGCAGGCTAAGTCCAGCCATAGGGAGAGTGGAGATGCAAACAAATGTTCGAGTCTTCTTGACCGACAGGCGTTTAGTGAACGGACTGAGACTAGGGAGAAGCTTTGACATCCCTTGAAGGAGAGAAGTTTAGGATAGGGAAGAGGCGGAACTTAGGAGAGATTATAAAAGTGTGGACAGTAAGACTAGAAATTGAAACTCTGCTATCAGAACGCACTACTGTTAGGCTTAAAAATCCTAAGCCTTGAAAAAGAATTGTGTGGCCTGGTGCTCTGATTTTCCAGGTAATCAAAATTATTGTCAATATTTATTAACTAACAGGAATCTCAAGTGTCCCCCCGCTTAAGAATGTGTGTGTGTGTGTGTGTGTGTGCGTGTGTGTGCGTGTGCGTGTGCGTGCGCGTGGGCGTGGGCGTGCGCGTGCGCGTGGGCGTGGGCGAGTGTGTGTGTGTGTGTGTGTGTGTGTGTGTGTGTGGGTGTGGGTGTGGGTGTGGGTGTGGGTGTGGGTGTGGGTGTGGGTGTGTGTGTGTGTGTGTGTGTGTGTGTGTGTGTGTTTACTACTTTATAATACTTCTTAAACGGACGTTTCTCCATTCCAATAAGGCACTGTCAAAGCCCTCTATATCTCAAGTAATGTTTTCGTGTATGTTTTCAGTCTACATGTTTTTCAGTGTGTGTGTGTGTGTGTGTGTGTGTGTGTGTGTGTGTGTGTGTTTACTACTTTATAATACTTCTTAAACGGACGTTTCTCCATTCCAATAAGGCACTGTCAAAGCCCTCTATATCTCAAGTAATGTTTTCGTGTATGTTTTCAGTCTACATGTTTTTCAATGTTACATAACTTTAGTTTTTGAGGTTAACATTGATATTTAATGATCTATCATGTTTATGAAATCACTAGCGTGAAGATGTATATAGCAGTCTCTTCACGTGTGATTATTTTTTAATGTTTTACATAATTCAATTAAATGTATGCAACTCCCGGAGAGGATAATGCCGAAGATTGACCCTCGAGAGAAAAACCCTGAGATTTTATTTTTTATGTCATACCCAGAAATAGTGTTACCATTCTAGGCGCGCACATTATTTCAGGTAATAATTCCACAACTTGTTCTGTCAAACTGAATGTCATTTATGAGCTGCATGATGACGGATAACAGATTTATATGACTTCCATTATCATGACAAGACATGAGAGGGAAGGCAGGCGATGTAGAACATCAATATGCAACAAACCTGCAGAGTAGACATGGGAGAATTTGAATCTGAGGAGGACATGAAATATGTTTTTATTTGAATAAGAGTGCTGTGCTAAATCTAGACACTTTACATATGCTCTTTTTTTTTTTTTTTGTCGGAGTTCCCATCAAGGGCAAAGACCAGTCAGCACTTTTTAAAAGCAGATGGTCCAGTGTACGACCTGCTTGAAACAGTGAGGGCGCCAGGCTGGGAAAAGTTAGGCAGAGTTTCAGACAGAGATCTCTCTGAGGTTCATTTATCTTCTTCTTGTTATTCTTATTTATAAGAAATATTATCATCGTAACACCATACTCACTCTACTATCATAAGCACACTGAATTAATTATTCACTATCAATGACCTATTATCTTTTATAATGTAAGATCAATACCTTATATTTATTTTTGGTGAAATTGATTCAATAAAATCGTGTTAGTTATAAACCCATAGTTTGGTAACTTTGATTCGTAGTTCCAAGTGGCTAAGTTAATAGGTTGTTTAACTATAAAAAATTATTTTTAAAGAGTTAAACAAATCACTGTCACACTTGGTGGGGCATTCGTTATAAATTAATACCAGGAGAGGAGAAAGTCGGAGAGGTTAACTGTATATCTTGATGTTTTCTGGTTAAATTCACTTTGATATCTAACTACCCTTTTCCTATTCCTGTGAATATAAGTACAGCTACTTTCACTGTATTGTACGAACCACTTTTTGATGTTTTCTTGATTATCCCGGTCTGTGTCTACGATCAAAATAGCTCAGATATTAGTCTAGTTTCTCATGTGGGTGTACAGTGGCAGGATTCCAACCCACACACTCACTACATATGTGTATATCCACGTGGGGTTGGCGTCAGTCAACAATATGCCCTCCAACCAATATTCCTAGCATACCATGTATGGATCTAATTTTTGTTTGACTAGAATTTACAGTCAGCAATTTCCCTCCAACAAATATTCCTAGCATACCGTGTATGGATCTAATTTTTGTTTGACTAGAATTTACAGTCAGCAATTTCCCTCCAACCAATATTTATGGCATACAATATATGGATCTAATTTTTGTTTGACTAAAATTTACAGTCAGCAATTTCCCTCCAACAAATATTCCTGGCATACCATGATGGATCTAATTTTTGTTTGACTAGAATTTACAGACAGCAATTTCCCTCCAACCAATATTTATGGCATACAATGTATGGATCTAATTTTTGTTTGACTAGAATTTACAGTCAGCAATTTCCCTCCAACAAATATTCCTGGCATACCATGTATGGATCTAATTTTTGTTTGACTAGAATTTACAGTCAGCAATTTCCCTCCAACAAATATTCCTGGCATACCATGTATGGATCTAATTTTTGTTTGACTAGAATTTACAGTCAGCTATTCCCTCCAACCAATATTCCTGGCATACCATGTATGGATCTAATTTTTGTTTGACTAGAATTTACAGTCAGCAATTTCCCTCCAACCAATATTCCTAGCATACCATGTATAGATCTAATTTTTGTTTGACTAGAATTTACAGACAGCAATTTCCCTCCAACCAATATTTATGGCATACAATGTATGGATCTAATTTTTGTTTGACTAGAATTTACAGTCAGCAATTTCCCTCCAACAAATATTCCTGGCATACCATGTATGGATCTAATTTTTGTTTGACTAGAATTTACAGTCAGCAATTTCCCTCCAACAAATATTCCTGGCATACCATGTATGGATCTAATTTTTGTTTGACTAGAATTTACAGTCAGCAATTCCCTCCAACCAATATTCCTGGCATACCATGTATGGATCTAATTTTTGTTTGACTAGAATTTACAGTCAGCAATTTCCCTCCAACCAATATTCCTAGCATACCATGTATAGATCTAATTTTTGTTTGACTAGAATTCACAGTCAGCAATTTCCCTCCAACCAATATTCCTGCCATACCATGTATGGATCTAACATTGTTTGAGTGTAGAAATTAATTACACATATCTATATCTAAGACAATGTTTAGTGTTTTGAAAAATTCCAAAGTTTCTTGTCAATTCTTATGGCTGTTTCTTGTTGCTATTGCTAGTATATATATATATATATATGTATATATATATATATATATATATATATATCTATATATATATATATATATATATATATATATATATATATATATATATATATATATATATATATATATTTTGGCAGAATTATTCTGAGATCTTTACCATCAATATGGTTTCAATGTTACCATCAATTTATGTTCCACGTTATCAAACGCTTTAGTGCTGTTCACATTCCAAAATCTGTTTATTTCAGTTTCTTCAATTTTTTTCTAAAAGTGTTCATATGGTAGATATGGCGTTACTAGTTCGTTTACTTCTGACAAAACCGTACTGCTCTTCTTCCATTTCTGGCTTTATTTTGCATATTATGTCACTCATAATTTTCATTATATTTCTAGTTATATAAGTAATCTAACTAAAAATCTGATAATCTTCACAATCCACTGCTGTGCGTGCAATCCGAAGATTCACACTAGGTCAGACCGCTATTGAACAAGAGATATGACGAGAGACACAACCTCACTTGCCGAAGAGAACTGAGTAGCTGACAGTTACGAGAAATGTGTGAATGGCAGAGGTTGGAAACCAGAAGTCTATCTGGATATGTACTTGATGCCGCAGTTTGCGGGGACATTAGGCTCCAGATCCCGGCTTGGAGGTAAACGGTTATTCTGTAATAGTTCGATACGGACATTCTACCAAATTCATGTTCATGCTCTCGCACACACCCCTGTGAACAGTTACAAAAAATTGATGTATTTTGCCTTTTAACTACGTTTTCTTAAACCACCTTAGTTCAGTATTCGGCACAGTTTGTGGCGGCGTCTGCCTGTTGCGTTTTAACGATTGCTTCCCCTAGAGGAACATAACTTGGCATTGATTGCCGTACGGCAGGAACTTTGGGACTGCTGACCATATATCGCTATACAGTAAATATCGCCGTACAAATTCATCAGGTGTTTTTGGTAAAAGAGTGACAAGAGATTTCAAAAGATCATCAAGCAAATATCGATTGTTATTATTATAATTCCACAATTTTGTCAGCACTTCTTAACTCGGTTTACCAACAGCTTTTGATTCTCCAATATTAATGTTATCTGAGCCTAGAGATTTACACTTCTTCATGAGTGCATTATCTGCACAGGGATAAACGTTCAGGATCGGAAGTCGGTAACAAAAGTACATTTTGTTTTCTGCCTCTGGCTCAAAACGTTTGATTCATGTACTTCCTGTGAAGTCGGGGTACATCTGGCCGAGAGGCGAGGAACCAACACTTACTTTAAAAATAAATCAGATCTTTAAAACTGGTGTGCACGCAAAACTCATATTACGGAACAAGACTAAAGTCCAGGAACTTTCCAAAACTTTCCGCTGCAGCTCACAACCTGTGAATGTGAAAAAGAACACAAATATTGCTGAATTAGTCCCCTCGTCACATATTTGTTAAGATTTGGTCGTAATTTCCTTGCTTCTGTTAGCAGCAGAGCAGCCATATTTGTCCCTGCTGGTCAGTTCAGCGTACTTATTCAATCAGTCTCTTGGTCTGGTTAGCTTTCTCTGGTTTTAGTGAAGCAGGGGAGAAAACACTGTCACCCTTGTAGGCCTATGTTCTATGGAGGAATCATGCAATGGTCAATAGATGCAGTGTCCAGTGCAGCCACACACACCTGAAGCAGGTGTACAGGAACTTGAGGCCATAAAAACCTTAAACCCTCTCCCCACAACACATTTTAAGGATAAGAGGTGCTCGCCTCTGCCTCCCTCTCCAGCCCCTCCCTAAAACGTAAAAGGGGTTAATTTGACTCCCTCCCAAACATTTAAAGTTCTCTCTCTCTCTCGCTCTATCTCTCTCTCCCCCTCCCTTTCGTTCACACACACACACACACACACACACACACACACACACACAAATAAAAGCTACTCACATTGGAAGGCGTTGTCCGAGTGCTCGCTTGCATCGATAGCTATAGCCACGACCCTTCGCTTGCTGGAATCCGCCATTGATCAGGTTTCAACCAGAGATTTGATATAGTCGGATCTTGATACAGCTCGAGCTTTTTATTTGTTCACCGATGTCCTGCAGTACTGGCCCAACGCGCTACTGGTGTGGCACTCACCCTTTACTGCTGTCTGCCGTATTGCCCCGAAAATAAACCCGACACAAAAACAAACTGTAGCCTATTTTTCTTTGTCTTTTCCAGAATGCTCTAAATAAAAACCGTACCTAAAATAGAAGCTATGGGTAAAACTGTCAGCTAGAAGGACGGGTTTCGTCACTCAGTTGAAATGCACTATGGACGTAATAAACATCATTAAAAAAACATACTGACATAATACCTTACGTAAATGATAACACAAATGTAGACTTTTGAACATTAAAAAAAGACACCTGTTTAAAAAAAAAAACGATGTCGCCCCTTTTGAGCAAACTCAGAGCTTTTTTCTGGCGCTACGCAGTACTGGCACCTTTGTTTTCTCCAGTTTTTCTGGAAATCTGCCGGATGTAAAATAATGATTTCAAATGTAAATCGTTCTCGATGTCTCTGTATCTATGTATGTCCGTGTCTCTCTCTTTCTCTCTTGTTAACTGCCTAATCTTTATGATCATTTCTCTCACCCCCCCCCCCGCTCCCACCCCCTTCCCCATCTCTCGCTAACCCCAAGCGTATAAAATCCCGCCCCATGTGTCAAACACAGAACAGGAACAAGACTTCTTGACACAGATCAGACGCGGAAGAAATGAAGTTGTCCTAATGCACTAGAGCCCTGTTAATGGAATCATTGACGGGCTGCAGGTAACATGCTCAGCTGACGGCTCGTTGGTCATTTGTTAAAAATTCCCTCCAACGGCCTGCAGTTCTGGGTCGAATCAGTCTAAAATGTATGGGAAGTAAAGGCGTACTATGTTATATTGGTTGCATATTTATCCAGTGCCGATTGGTCTATAACAGTGTTTCCCAAACTTGTCTTGGTCGCAGCGCCCTTTTTTTTTCAGTTTAAATTTGTCCACGTCGCCCTGACCTAATTAAAGTATGACTATTCGTGTCTTGGTTAAATTAATTATGAAGCTTTTACAATATTTTCGCGGCGCCCTTACCTAATTAAAGTATGACTATTCGTGTCTTGGTTTAATTAATTATGAAGCTTTTACAATATTTTCGCGGCGCCCTTGTAAAGAGGTCGCGGCCTCCCTGGACGCCGCGGCGCATAGTTTGGGAATCACTGGTCTACAAAATATGGGGCTAGTACTCTGTACCCAATCCTCACCAAGATGTATCGTGAAAAGATATCACACAAACGACAAGCTGAACTATTCAGTTTCATAAGATCACAGACACAAACGACAAGCTAAACTATTCAGTTTCATAAGATCACAGACACAAACGACAAGCTGAACTATTCAGTTTCATAAGATCACAGACACAAACGACAAGCTGAACTATTCAGTTTCATAAGACCACAAACACAAACGACAAGTTGAACCAGTCAGTTTCATAAGATCACAGACACAAAAGACAAGTTGAAACAGTCAGTTTCATAATATTACAGACACAAACTACAAATTGCAACGTGACAGTGCCACTCTCGAGAAAGAAGACCAGTCAGTTTCATAAGATCACAAACACAAACGACAGTGCCAAAAGTGAACCAGTCATGTGTTTCATAAGATCACAAACATAAACGACAAGTTGAACCAGTCAGTTTCATAAGATCACAGACACAAACGACAAGTTGAACCAGTCAGTTTCATAAGATCACAAACACAAACGACAAATTGAACCAGTCAGTTTCATAAGATCACAGACACAAACGACAAGTTGAACCAGTCAGTTTCATAAGATCATAAACACAAACGACAAATTGAACTAGTCAGTTTCATAAGGTCACAAACACAAACGACAAATTGAACCAGTCAGTTTCATAATATCACAAACACAAACGACAAGTTGAACCAGTCAGTTTCATAAGGTCACAAACACAAACGACAAATTGAACCAGTCAGTTTCATAAGGTCACAAACACAAACGACAAATTGAACCAGTCAGTTTCATAAGGTCACAAACACAAACGACAAATTGAACCAGTCAGTTTCATAAGGTCACAAACACAAACGACAAGTTGAACCAGTCAGTTTCATAATATCACAAACACAAATGACAGGTGAGAGTGAGTCCTCAAGGCGTTTGAAAGGGACCTTTATTTACTTAGTTTACCCAAACCTGCACAGTCCAATGCAAGGGCACCCGGCACGCGCAGTTATATTCCTGAACTCAAAGAATCCTTTCGAGGATCACCCAGCCAGAAATCGATGACATGAAAACCTCAGGGGATAAAGTAAATTAGTAATAAAGGACCCTTTAACACGCCTTCAGACATATTGGGCATATAGGGCTAGACCTATATATTTATAGACTAATCGGTACTTGATAGGTGATGTGGTCAACCTGGCGCCGGCCGTCTTTACTTCCCAGGACTGCACCTGGTACCCACTCAAGGCGGGGGCCGACCAGGTAATTTTAGAAGAACGCCCGGTTCCGTCAGGACCCGAACCCACACCCTTCCGATCCGCAAGCCAGCGTCTATCCGCTACACCACGGCGACTTACCAGGGAATAAATACTGCCCGTGTATTGACTGAAAAGTCTACTGCATGTCAGTCTTTCTGAAAATGTCTCACACACAATATACCAAACACTCACGGAAACCCGGGATTGGTCCTTTATTTAGATGGTGTCATTAAAACAAAGGTAGGTACATCCCTCCAGCTAAGACAGCCTCTGCTTGATCTGTTTTTCAAACTGATCTCTAATGGTTGTAGGGTTGTCTAATGGTTGTAGTACTAAGAATACAACATGGTCAATGACAGACATCTTTCGGTTCCATTATTATTTTTTTTTTTTTAGAACTTATAGTGTCAAATTGAATTTTCTAATGCGTTAAAACATGTAGTCATTATTATTAACTTGTAATAGAATAAAGGAGAAATACTGACATCTGGAAAGATCTGAATATCAAGGAAGATTGGCTAATAAACAGCATGTGTCTCGGAAGCTGAAATATTTTGGTCATATCAAACACCACGACGGATTGGAAAACAATAATAGCAAGGAGGGGCAGGGACCGACCAGCACGAAGATGGGCACAGGATACAAGTGACTCCTTGAGTATGAAAGTTCATGAGGCAGTAGAGCTGGCGAGAGACTTTCTTTCAGGTAGAGAGCGACGTTCTGCAAAGGACCTGCTACGTGATAATGAATTGAATACAAGCACGGAGAAGAGAATTAGAGTCCCATGAAAACCACACGGGGAGAATAGGGGACAAGATGCGAGCAGTGGCAAACGGTAGGATGAACTGGCTTGTGCTGGGTGAGAAGGTTTTGCTCAGTGTGGTGACAAAGTGCGGCAGCTGCAACATCAACACAATAGACTTAGTTCGTGTCCAAAACCATGCTGAACTATCTGTCAGTATGCCCGAGCGACTAGACCCTGAGGAGAGTCGGTGCACCTACCTACACTCAACTACAGGTTGCTTGGTAACTGTCTTGTCTTGTCCTAACATAAATGTGTTAGATTTCTGACGGCTGAACGGAGTTTCCCGAATTTTCATCCTTGAGATGTTAATCCCATAGAATACAAATCTGGAGGGGAATATCTATGTTGAACAAATCTGCAGCAGCAGAGGAGGAGGAGGAGGAGGAGGAGGAGGAAGAAGAAGAAGAAGAAGAAGAAGAAGAAGAAGAAGAAGAAGAAGAAGAAGAAGAAGAAGATTATAATGATGTCGTTATTGATGATGATGATGATTATGATGATGATGATGATGATGATGATGATGATGATGATGATGATTATAAATATAATACAAGCTAAAATAGCAGGATCTCATATATGTGGTAAAACATACAATAGGAGCAACCGCTTATGGTTCATGGAGTTTTTAAAAACATCTATACGTATATTAACACCGCATTTTACGTCATTGGCGGATTGGGCATATGTTGCTAAAGTAATATTTTAGGTTAATGTAAAAAGTAAAGGTCCCCTTTCCAAGCCTTTAGGCTAGATCTATATTTGTATGGACCAATCGGCACTTGGTCGGTGATGTGTTCACCATCACGCCGGCCGTCTTTACTTCCCATGACTGGACCTGGCTGAGTCAACCTGGGAGCCAAGGTCATTTCTGAAAAAACAAAAATCAAAACAAAAACAGCCCGGCTCTGTCAGGACACGCACCCACGACCTTCCGATCCGCAGGCGGGCGTCTAGCCGCCAACGCCACGGCGACTGCCTTTGGGGTGATGTGGTCAACATAATCTCCTTGAGTCTTCTATCCCCCAGTGGAGCATAGACCCTCAACCAGCTCTCGCCAGGTAGCTCTATCCTTTGCTATTGCATGCAGCTCTCTCCATGTCCTCGCCATATTTTACTATTTCACTTTCTAGCTCTCTTCTCCGTGGTTTTTTTTTGGTCTGCCTTTATTTCCATGCCCCTGTGGGTTCCAGGGCAAAGACATTCCAGTTAAATTGTTATCAGACTTTCTCAACGCGTGTCCTTTCCAACGTCAGCGTCTTCTTTTCCTCATTTCTTGGTCCACTGGAACTTGTATAGTTCACTCCAAAAGCTCAGAATTAGTGCTTCTATCATACTCTTTATTTCCCGTTATTCTGCACAGGCACCAGTTAATAAATGCTTTTAGTTGCAAGGCAAATCGACTGAGGGGAATCTGGAGAAACGCTCACAACAACAACTACAACAACAACAACAACAACAACACACACACACACACACACACACACACACACACACAGAGTACAAGGAAGCAACTAGTTTAAAAAGATTAAATTAATGAGAGCCAGGTTAGATGCACATAATCTAACAGAAATCATCAACAGTGATGAAGATGAATAAGTTAGTGAATAGAAATAAATTCTAAAAAGATCGAAAAAATACTTTAATCCACTTTTCAATATACCCTCTAACGCCATAGAAACGCCAGACACTCAA